AAAAAAAAAAAAAAAAAAAAAAAAAAAAAAAAAGGACAAAAGAAGTCGCCTGAAACGGAATAATTTACTTACAATGAAAAGGATACGCGAATGACTTCACCAGCTTTCACGCGACCAGATATTAGATAAGATAAAAATGCTAATGCAACCTTTTTAAATTTCAGGCCCGTTTTGTTATATACGAAACCGCGCGTCTATATTGAAGATATAAGCGTAAGGACGGGACTAATCGGTGATGTCGGTATCGTAAAGTATATAATTGAGCCAGCAGGTTTGTACGAGCATGAAATCCCTATCTGCAGAGTAAGCTTACTCGATGCCAAGGATAATTTAGCCGTGCAAGAGCCTATTTACGGATTTTCCGGCACTCTGAAAGTACCATTTCCTAATCTTTGGTGGCCTAGGGGTATGAGTTCTAATCCTGGATATCTTTACACGTTAAAGGTATGTATCTTTCTATTTTCTCTTCCATTTCCTCCCACTTTTTCACAATTAAAAATCAATTTGAGAAAAAAATATATATAATTGCTTAAATATTTTTTTTTCTTTCAAAAGAATAATCGAAACATTTCTTTTAATCTTAAGACAACTATCCGTGTTGATCTCCTTCAAAAGGAGATATAATATTTTAGATTCTTTTCTTTTCTACACGATGAAAACGTTAAATCTCGATCGATCATTGTGAAAATCATAATGAAGTACATAATAAGTTATAATTCCAAGGTTACATTATCGGTGGTAAATGGCACCAAGATGGACGTCTACAGACTTCCAATTGGTATCAGGACATTGACATGGACAAATACGAGTTTGCTACTTAACGATAAACCTGTGTACATGCGAGGGTTCGGTAAACACGAGGACTCGATATTAAGAGGACGGGGTCTGGATTTAGTCACCGTTGCCAGGGACCACGAGTTGCTTCAATGGATAGGTGCTAATGCTTACAGAACTAGTCATTATCCTTACAGCGACGAAGTACTCGATTTGGCGGATCGGTAATTATTATTAATTTCATCGATCTTGATATATGTTAAAGATTGAAAATGATTAGAATGAATTTTTGAAGTTTTGATTGAAAAAGATTGAAATTACACTTGTTAACTCGATCTTCGAACCGTAACGTATCTCTTGTTTTATTTCTTTTTTAAAGGTTAGGTTTTCTCATTATCGACGAATGTCCTTCGGTGGATACCGAGAATTTTTCACCGATGCTTCTTTCCCGTCACAAAGATTCATTATCGGAGCTTATAAGGAGAGATAAGAATCGGCCTTCGGTAATCATGTGGTCAATCGCTAATGAACCGAGGACTCAACTTCCAGAAGCTGGCGAATACTTTAAACAAGTTGCTCATCATACGAAAGCGCTCGATCCTACCAGGCCAATTACCATTGCCATGGCTCGAACTGTTCAGGTTACTTGCATAAATGAATCATTTATAGGTTATATGAATTATTGCTACCTTTTTTCACATTTCGAAGTAACGATTTATTATTTTGTCAATTATTAATAGTTAAAATCAACGATTGTATCGAAAAGTGATTATTTTCCAATTCCGAGCATCGATCGAAAAAAATTTTCTAATAAAAATTGTATTATTTTGTAGGAAGATAAAGCTGGTGAATATCTTGATGTAATTAGTTTTAATCGTTATAACGCTTGGTACCATAATCCAGGCCGTCTCGATTCAATAACAAATCGAGTTATAGCCGAAGCTGAAGCATGGCATAGAAAATATAACAAACCTGTTCTTATGACCGAGTATGGAGCTGATACTATGCCTGGATTACACGAAGTAAGATATCGTGTAATTATAAGTAAATATGTATAAGTAAATATGCATAAGTAAAATTTAATAAAATGAAGAACAATTGAATTTTATAATTTTATATTATAGTTTAAAATCTACATAATCTATATAGTAAATTTATATCGAAAGTTAAATTATATATCGAAAATGACATGGCTAAATTGAAATTTTTATTTATTTTTAAAATATTTTCAGTTGCCTGAATATATATGGAGCGAAGAATATCAGAAAAATGTATTATCTAGACATTTTGTAGCATTTGATCAATTGAGAAATGAGGGATTTTTTATTGGTGAATTTATTTGGAATTTTGCTGATTTTCGAACAGCTCAAAGTAAGCAACAAAAATTATAAATATCGACAAAATAAAAATAATCGAGTATAATAATTATATTAATAATTTATATTTATAGCATATATCAGAGTAGGTGGTAATAAAAAAGGTGTATTCACAAGAGATAGACAACCAAAAATGGCGGCTTATCATCTTCGAAAAAGATATTATTCTCTTCAAAAAGAATTGGATGGTACAGAAATACCAACGGATCTCGAAGATTATATTTCTCTTCATTATTCTTTTCATTCAAGAAAGCTATAATAAAATATTTTAATATTTTGCTACTTTTGTTTCAACCATTTTTTCAAGAAAAACTTATTGTTATTTGTTTATAGATAAATATTGTAAAAAAATTGTATGCTTGTTTTTTTTTTCTCTTTTAATATGCAATTTTTATTTTTATGGAAATATTGCCATTTTTAATGTCGATACTAAAATGTATATAAATTATCAATGTATTTTTATATTTATATAAATTACCTTAAATTTTTAATAAATGTTTTATAAAAAAAATTTCATCTTTATTTCGCTTGTTTTTATAACAATTTTAAAATTTTATCAATTAAATTAAAAAAATTATATTATAATTTATAAATAAAATGAAAAAAAGATAAATATTTCATTATATATGTGTATATATATTTATATACATACATTTATTGTATAATTTATGTATATATAATAACATTTAATCTAATATAACATAGATCTATATACATCAACGTGATTCATCGTCACTAATTTGAGGTTCAACAACTTTCAAACATGCATCTGCCATTTCTACGAATATTGGTTCAGTCATAGCTAAAGCAATAGCTTTTGTTGGATTCTTGTCAATTAAAATACCACGCATTATATTTCGAACATGTGGATTTTTTAAGCATTCTATTAATTCTTTACTATGACGCAATTGTTTCAATTTTTCAACCGAAACTGTATCCTCTGTTGGAAATTCATATTCATTCTCGCTATCTTTTATATCTTCTGTAACTTTATTTTCCTGAATCTGGAATGGTTGACAATTATTTTCTTTATGCTTCTTACAGCAACCTACGGAACAACTAATACACATAATAATAATTAATACAATAATTAATAAAATTATATTTCATTATTTTTCTATTTTTATAGTATTTTAATAATTTTAATGCTTAATTAAAAGAATTTTTTATAATATTATATTATTATAATTATATATTTATATTATAATATAATTATAACATAAATATACTGCATGAGTAAAATGATTTGAAAAAACATTAAAATGGAATAAATAAAATAAATAATTAAAAAATAAAATAGTATTCATAACAGATTATTGTTTATGTATCATATGAATAAATTGTACTATATTGTGTTTTTAAATTATGTAATATTTAGTTATATATTTATTATTGATAAAAATTATTTAATTTCATATAACGACATTTCAATATATTTATTCATATTGTTAAAACTTATTATATGTCAAAATTTATAACTTAAATCTTAAATGTGATAATTATAAATATAAAGATAACCTCTAAAAATAGATACTTACTACGGTTCTTTACACACAGGACACTTATATAAACATTCTGTTTTTTCACATATGCAACAAACTTTTGCCATAATAATCCAACGTTATGAATAATTATTTCAATAAGTAAAATTAATTTTTTATTGATTTTATATAATTCTTATTCTTATTCTATACTGTTTATATTTGATCACATAACTTTTGGTTATGTTTGATCACATGATTTATCCTTAGGGAAAAGCGTGTGTTATTTTAAATAAAAAATATCATAAAACAGTAAACGACAATTAGATATGTGCATTATAAATATCAATCTTTTTCAATTTTCATCAGCGAAATATTTTTCTTTGCGAATTTTGTTATAAAGATTAGTATAAAATATTTATTATTATCGTATACCTTATTTAATGATAATTTTTCTTATAAATTGCTAAAAAATTGTTTCAATTTAAATTGATATTAATCTGAAATATATATTTTATTAAAATAAGATATAATATTGAATAAAATTAAGATTTAAAAAAAGCACTTATTATTAATTTATTTAAAAGAAATTTAATTGTAATTGTTAAAAGAAAAAAATAGTTTAAAATATATGTATCATAAATTTATAAAAAAAAATACAAATCATATATCAATACAAATCAATCAATATAATATATAATTCAATGTATTTAAAATCGTATTTATTCTAAAACATTATAAAATTTATGACAAATAGAATATTAGAATACAGAATAAATAATTTCTTAATTTTCAAAGAATTAAATTCATTTTTGTAGTTTTGTATATTTACCATCCTTTTGTTGTTTAGTATTTGATGTCAAAATTAAAATTCCTATCATGATTCGTAACTATTTTCACGAAGAAAAATTGAGATAGAATTTGAACGCGATATTAATATTTACAGCATCGTTACAAGTGAACAATTTCTTTAGCATCTAAATAGCTTGATTTTAAACATAATTGTGTTATAACATAAAATATTCTATTATATAAATTATATGCATAAATTTTAATTTTAATCAAATAAATATAAAATATAAGATTAATATTAATAATCTGATAAAATAAAATTTCGTTTCTTTATTTTACAATACTTTTATTTCATTGGAATAATAAGAATAATAAAAATCGTTTATTTAGAAGTTTTATTATTAATTTGTTTTTTCATTTTTACGTATAATTTTATAAAAAGTTTTAAAAAAAATTTTTTTAAAAAATTTCTTAATTTTTTTCTTTTTTCTTGCTTAAATTATTTCGAAAGAATCATATAACGCATAACAAATTTAATCAAACATTCAATTTATATCAACTTTGAATACGTACTTTAAATTTTATCACTGTATTTCATCTCAATCTCTCCACTTTCATATCGTTTCATGTTTCGAATAAAAAGTCCTAGTTACGAGTGTGAAATTTTTGACTCCGCTCCATAGCACAACAAATGCGAATGGACTTTCTTCCTCGCAAACGATCGCATGTCCTGGCATTACTCGTGCCAAGGTCATTGATTCCTCGAACAGTTCCGGCTTAGTTTCTGGGCCAGGTTAACCGACCTAGCAGTGCTACCAACGTCGACCGGAATACCATGACCAACCGTGACACATCTTGATACGAGATACGAATGCTCCGGAATAGTCGGATAACCGGACAGAATCGGATCGATAACGAATCCCGTATACAATTCTATTTTTCGATCCGCACATGTTTGCAAATATTTCCTTATGTCATCATTCTTTCATTGTTTATATTATTGTAAATTTGCGAATCTTTTTCTAGTATTATTAAGATATTTTCTTTCTTATTATATCTAACATTAATACTATTGTGATTATTCGTTTTTTGAGACATTCTTTCATTTTTAGAATTCTTAAATATTTTCTATAACGATCTTTTCGCTATACTTTAAATTTAATTTTAAATAAAGAATATATATATATATACATTGAACTTGTATATAAATTAAAAAATTCATTGCAATTAAAAACTTGATACGATATATACTTTTTACCAATTAATTCTCTTGTACAGATCTATATTCATAATTATATAATATCTTATCAATATATTAATCTAATCATTTTTTATATCTGATTTATTTATGCTTTATTTCAATATATATATATAAGTTGAAATTAAATAACTTTTCACTCATAAGTATTGAGATGCAAAACATTCAAATAGTAACAAGTAATATTTTAAATTAGAATAACAATAATATTTTTTTTTAATATTTACGTAATATTTACGAACCATTATCAAATTTGTTGTTATTGTAAGAAATGGTTTTTTATTTACATTTTAAAATTGCGTTTTACAAAATTTTGATTTCCTATTACAATAAGAATATATATTATAGAAAAGAAGATACACAATAGAAAATATATTGTAAGTTTTTTTTTTTTAATAAACAAATATCGTGATATCGTGATACTTATTAATTTTATGTATTTAACTCTATAATTATATAACATAAATATTTAATAATCTTATTATAAATTATATTTATGATATTTGTAACGATAACTATAATTTTGACTTGTTCGATATCTAAATTTTTCGATAATATTACTATAATATGGATAATGTTCTCATTGGTGACGCTGTTTGACCCTGTCGACTCGACAGATCGAATGACGTCAGATGTTGCACAAAGTTAGATGACGAACCACGACGATGATCGCGTATGATGACGTTAGCGGGCACAACAAGGCAAGACAATGCAAGATAAGACAAGACGAGGCGAAGCAAAGAAGACAAAGTGAGGCGAGGCAAGACAAGGCTGGGCAAAGCAAGGTAAGACAAGGCAACGGCAGCCTCAAGAGGAGGAAGAAATAGCAGGAATCTTGTTTCGTTGGCTTCTGGTTGGCCAGTTCTTTCCAGTACTTCGTAACGTCAACTTCGCAGTCAACGTGCTATTCGTGTCAGAGATGGAGACACTATATCCGTTCGCGACTTCCTCTGTAAATCGTTCAAAGGGAATGACAGTGGCCCACTTGCCGGTTTCAAGTGCACCATGTTCGAAAACAATTTTACGCGGTTATGTTCATTTACTTACCATTGTGTTCGTATCCTCGTTTCACGTGATCAAGTCGACTCGACTATATATTTGTTAACACAGTTGTATATCTAATTGTTAGTTTTAATAATTAGACAAATCAAAATGGAATACAAAATTTCAGCTTCACATCATTAATCGGATCTTATGCTTTCACGTGGCTAAATCTTCTGTGATATATGCTATTCAGATAAGTATATTTAACAAATTTTGCTCACTTCTCGATTATATTCAATTTTTTCGCAAGACGATCTCTTTGTCACGAATTTATACGAACGTATTGTAAAGATAAAGTCTCGTTTCACTCGGAATATTACATATTACCTATAACACGTGTGTTTGAAGTATATGTACAAACGTCCGCACCAATTTACTCGACTTATTATCGTGACGCGCCAGATTTAGCAGAACACTTGTTTCAATAAAGTATACGTCACTCGGTAGGTAATTCTAATTTTTACGCTGACGTTATTTAAAACCGTCTCGTGCACGTTTGTTTCCTCGTATAAATGATGCTGTTTCTATTCATCGGATCGCTCCTTGATCATCATGAGATTTCGATCGTTTTTTTTTTTTTTTTCTTTTAATACACAGGGATTCTCACGTAGGATTGCAACGTAATCGAAATTTGTGTCAGCTGCTTTTGTCGACACGTTCTACTTCAGCTTTTCTACTCCGATCCTTTCCGTATCCGGGCTATGAAAGTCGATTATATATCCGTTTCACGATGAATTTTTGAATTTTTGATATTTTGTAACAAAAAAAGAAAAAGATGTAGAAGTAAAAAAATTAATATTTTCAAGGTTATGTCGAAACGATAACAAACTTTCGTTTGTCAACTTGGGATAAAAAAATGTAAATCTTTGCAACGTTTATTGCAAAACGTCAATGTAGAACAATTGAGATTTATTTGATAATAGTAGTGTGTATCATTAGGAAAATAATTCTTTTAAATGTTAAGTATAAGGCAAAGATTGAAAAAGATATTCGAATCGAAAAATAAGAATAAAGTGATAAAGATTAAATTATTTAAATCGTCTAAATCGAAATATATTTATTCGATAAAATATACATTTACAATCATAAATTAATTGGATTGCCAATACTTTATAACAATGGAATATAATGGATATTAAAAAATATATAATACAACGTGAAAAAGTGACAAGCTTTTCAATGCGAAGAAAATTTACCTTTCATCGATGTTCGAATTTTGTTTATACGTTGTTGCATACGTTGTTATTTTCTCGCGATAAATAAATACTCGTCAGGATACACATTTACACAGATTCGAGTGAACGAAAAGCAAGTTTATTGGAAATCGTTATATTGAGTTTATAATTTGTTTGAAATTTGAAAGAAATGCAAAAAAGATTGAATCGAAATGGGGACAAACAACTGCGTTAGCAGTTGAATAACTTTGGAATGCAGCCACGGTCGGTATGCGGAGCATTCTCTCATCCTGTTGCCGTAGAATTGAGTGCGATCCTGGAACGCGGAAACTCGAAGCAACCGCTCCTAGGAAAAGTTCCGAGACCGATCTGCTCGATAAAGCAAAAAGATTGGACAATCGAAGACCTCTTAAAACGCCCATATACGGCCAATAATATTATTATCGTGTTATTCCATTATTAGTAATATTGTCAACGGTACAATTTTATTTTTATTGTGCATTTCGATTCGATTCGATTCGCTTCGATCTTTTTAAAATGACAATAATAGTGGTTAATAATAAAAATCTGTTTGGAGAAAACAGTTTATTTCCTTCTGATTCACGCCACTTATCTTATGCTTTGAAATCTTCAGATAATTCACAGATAATTTCTTGCGTGATGATTTTCAAATCGTATATTTCGATTCACGAGTAAAATGTGGATCAAGTGTATGAAATGTGTATAAAACGACATCGTTGTTTCATTTGCATTTTTTATCTAAGTAACGACTACTACTTTAACTTGGTATTAGTTATCGAATGAAATATTGAAAACGTTTTTTAAATCTTCAATTCGTTATAGATTTTGTTATACGAAAGTGTTTGAAATAGGTATAAGCTTTAATTTAATTTAAAATTTTAAACAACGAATTGAATCTTTTTTTTCGATCAAAAAATTTTATCTTTCATTAACGATTTTTATGCATATAAAGAAACTACAATGAAAGAATAATAATACGTAAG